ATTCTCCAAATAAAGTATAATCTTCTAAATATTTGTTTATTTATTTATATCAAATGGCAGGCGTTTTGATAGTTACCAATAGCCCTTAAGTTAACTTCAGGCTTCAATGAGAGGAGGAGGTGCATCAAAGTAAAAAAGTCGAGAAAATAGGGGGGAACATAAGAGTGTTCCAAAAAATGTAATAGAGACAGACACAAGGATAGAGAAAGAGGTAGGTTGAGGTGAGAACTGGGGAACTAGTCGTACATGAAATACAGTAAGACCATTGTAGTTTGAAGTCAGAAGTCAACTGCCGATTAATAGACTTTTTTGCTTTATGAGTATACGTTGCCCCATCTTTTAAATATATTTACTAAGAAGTCTATCGTAGTCATTATTTTAGCCTTAGCTTACGTGTAGTACCCTGAGCAACGTTTCTCCAAACGCCAAAAAGATTATAACTTGACAATTGACTTCACACTATTATGACTAGCCTGAAACGATCGTCCCTGGAATGGTGAATCACAACTTCTACAGATACTACAGTAGAATGCTAGAGATATGTCACAAGACAAGAAGATATACATTCAGAAAATCCTGCATACCTGCGGTATAGACATATTCACAATCATGGAAGCCAACTTTACGGATGACAAAATCAAATTAGCAATAATTACGAAAATAGCAATTTGATAAAAACGGGGCAAATTAAAAGCATTTTCATTCAGAACGAATATTTTTTAGCACCGACTATGAATTTTATTTGTAATCTTTTTTCATTTGCATATTATGGATTTAAATTGAGATGATAAATTAAATGAAATCATAAATCAATTTCTCTAACAATGGATTTTCCTTGAAAATATTCCCTCATAAATAAAAAGTTAAGTATAATAAAATGTAGGGCTAGCTTTAATTTTCTGTTTTTTCATGAATCATTAATGTCCTTTGTTTCGTTTTACTTGGGCAAATATTTCGTTTAGCTTTAACCGCTAAATTGTAAGGTGAGAGATGCCCGATAAGGTTTTCGCTCGTCGAGGTGCTATTCGGCAAAAAAATGTCGTTATTGTGAAGGAGCATTCATTTATCAATCGTTATTTTAGGCAACCAACATGGTGTGGTCATTGCAAAGATTTTATTTGGTACTTATTTTGTTTTTTATGTTAACTTTATGTTTAGGGGTGTCTTGGGAAAGCAGGGATATCAGTGCAATGTTTGCCTATTTAGTGTGCATAAACGATGTACGGAATTTGTCACGTTTAGTTGTCCCGGTTTGGATAAAGGCCCAGATTCAGATGTATTGCTTACATTTTTAAAATTATTTTCCTGTAGTTTCAAAATTATCATAAATTCCAAATTCATACCTTTGGTAGTCCTACCGTCTGTGATCATTGTGGCTCATTATTACATGGTTTGGTTCACCAGGGAATGAAATGCGAGAGTAAGTATTCAAAATCGTAGGTTTCCGAGCCAGTTTTTATTATTCCGTTATTATTTTTAATGCTTCATTTTTAAGAATGTGATATGAATGTTCATATTAAATGCAAAGCGATGGTTCCTGGACTTTGTGGCGTTGATCACACTGAACGTCGTGGCCGAATACACTTGCAAGCCTATCACCAAGGTGCCTATCTTGAGGTTAAAAGTAAGTTCCTGATTTTTAATGCATCTATTTAACCACCTTATTTTGATGTCAGATGAGAGTTGTCCATTGAATATTATAAATTATGTCATTCAATGCAAAGAAGCTAGATTAATGCACAATTATTTAATGGGTTAGATAAAAGATGAGTTTTAAAGGTAATTAATTTTAACAATGGAGTAGTGTAGTCATGGTAGATTTTGAATATTCCTTCGTATTTATTATGCAATCAAAACACTACAAATAAGATGGTCGTTTCAAATATACTCTAAAATTACTCTAAATATTTTACTGCAGCTACGTTTTGGTGGACCGCACTTTTTAGTCAAATATCCCTCCTTATATATGCTAGTTTTAGAAAATTCCTCGCGCTAAAGGTCAGCCCATACTTTATTAGCTACCAGGTCGGCTTTTAGGTAACCTGCCACAAATCCTCTAGTTCGACCGACCTCAGTTACCTGAAAGCCTCAAAATCACTTGTCAAGGCTGTCAGTAACTTCATTGGAGTTTTCTGTTTATTCAACAAGTTGTCCTGGGATATAGGAATTTGAGTTATCCTCGTGACATTTATAATTATTTATTTTAATGCATTCAACACATAAATCCATATAATGAGCTATAAATTGGCTTGCATTAATTTTGATTTCTAACGAGTGGACGGAATGAATTTACTTACTGCTGCTCCAATGATAATGGCAAATGATAAATGATAATGATAAATGGCCGATGTGTATTTCCTATGAGAAGTATTGCTGAAAAGTTAAGAAGCAGTCAATCCTTCTTAGACTAATCATGTTAGCCATTTCTCTCTAACATTATCGAACATTCTGAAAGCATTTCTTTAGGCCAAGTTCAGACTAGCTGAGGCATATTAGCATAATAGCTTGCCTTATGGAAAATTTTATTTCCACTCAGTAACTTAGGGACTTTAAGTCACTGATTGTTGTTTGATAAGTTGCCTACTACTATTAATTTTTAAATTATTATTTGACGAGTGCACTTATCTAATCATCAGTCTAATCCCTTCGTTCTTACTTTAATGTGAACTGCAAAAGTTGGAAAAATGTCTCTTTGATTTAAAAATAAATAACTTTGCCATTTAAATGTCGAAAAAAGAAATATTTGCCTTTTTTATTCTTGTGCAGAAATAAATAAAGCAATGCGCTCTTTTCTGATGGAACAAATTCCAGTAATAGCTCCGTCAAGAGAAAATAAAGTGAATATGATCTATTTTTCTCTATATTTAAATAATTTTAATCCCCGTTTGTTCATGTGTTCTGTTCTGATTGTCAACCAAAGCCTATGGCTTTAAATTGCTAATAGTTTGTATACACCGCGTGAATATGATTCGTCAATCGCAACATGATGAGGGAGGATTTGAAACGACCACTCGGGTGATGAATCACTGGTTGGGAAAAGGGTAATTCCAGTGTTTGCATCCTTTCTTAGTTTTACACATGATAGATTGTGTACTATATTACTTTTAAAGTATCCTTTTCAATGCCTTCAATAAGATAATTTGTCCTAAAAACTTTAATGCCAGATAGATTATGGGTGTGTTCTGAGTCCAAGAAATACTCTTGAATTAGTTGGAAAGCGAGTGCTCATTTAGTCTGTCCTCTGCGAGATTTTGGTTTAAGCGTAGGTCTCATAAATGCCAATTGATGCGCAATGAAGAATATAATTTTCCTCAAACACGTCGTATTAATCTGATCAAATGCTTCTAAGTCCTTCCATTTATGTCACAGCAATAAAGTGAGAGACCTGACAGTATTGATCCTCATTGCTTTTGGATTAACTCAGTCGAAAATATTCTTATCTCCCTTTGATGGCATAAAATCCAGTTGCTTGACCTGTTTTTCTTGAATATTTAAATAACTCATTCCAATCTCTCAATTGGCGTTGAAGATTCTTTTTATATACTGTGGTTACTTAAATGTTGACTGTTTTATCTATAGTACTATACTATAAAATCATACTTAACGGTACTTGTTTAAATGCATTTGGTCTTGAGATCAAAATTAGTAAAAATAGTTCGTTTTCTTTACCGAAATCAATTGGCTTGTGGGTTTCTTTTAACTCAATTCACCCCTATATTGTATTGGGTGATGAAAGTGATATCTCAACAAGGCCTATTTAAACTTGCACACTCTGGAGCTTACGTTTCTCTGCATTAAATGTAGAAATTGGTGATTTGAAATTGAATGAAATTGAAACTCGGTCTAAAATGTTGTTTCCAGTCCCCAACTCGAAATCCTAAGCTCTAGACAAAATTAAAGGTCTCGTGTACAAAAGTGTTTGGGAATAAGAATTATTGACTTCAAGCTAAGCTAAATTAAGAACGAACGCATCAAATCGTACTTTCCGCACTTTCTCCAAGTAGCATCCTTTTCTCATTCGAACACAAAATTTAATTTCCATTGGTCGAGCTCTCTTATTGATACTAATTAATGGAATGCTGCTTTCCCTTTCAAAGGGGGGCCCTCATTCCTTTTAGCATTGACGCTCACATTAATTAAAACATTGTCTTAGTGAAATTAAAGAATTTTAAATTGCTTGGCCCAGGTAGTTATGGCTATTGGTGAATGCCTTTGTTAATCCACGTGACGTAACACATACTCACAAACAATTAATCCTGTTAAGGAAGCGACGGTAGACCGATAATTTCCGCTTGCGTCTAGACTGAGAAATTCGACCATTTGTCGGCATTCATTAACCTTATTATTGATATTGTAATTCTTTGTTACACCCACACTTTTGCAGTATTTCTTAAAGATGAAAATGTACTGTACTCCCTTTAACTGCAATTACGCTCAATATAACCCACAATTCCTTTTAGGAAATGTTCCAAATCTAACACGAAAGCTGTTTACAGTACTTAGATTTAATAGAAGGAAATATTCTGAAAAGGAATTCTCGTTCAACAATTCCACCTGTTTATCAATATAAATCATTTCGGTTTGCCATGGGCCATGTGCATTGGCAGACAATAATATTGTGAACCCGTTGTTTTCAGACGTACAAGTTTATCGAGACACACACACTTAGCCCTTTTAAGAAATTATTTTGGTAATTATCGTCTTACTTGAAGGTGTTTCATCATGTAAACTCTTTGGTGCTAGTCTCGAATCCAGTCAATCGGTTAATCAACGTCGATTAATCAGTGCAAGCGAATCAATTGACGCTGGAACCTTGTTCTCAAACTTTGCAATAGGACACGTTAATAGCTTCGCCTGTGATTATTCTATTCATGAAGGGTTTGGGGAATGATTTTAATATGAAATCGGGAGAACTTTGTCTCATTTCAGTTCTTGAATCTGCATATTTTTGTAAATCCAATTATAGTTTTAACTAAGTTAGTTATTCCACAGTTTCTAACTAAAATATCTTTATTTTCTCAAAATTCTGAAATTTCTCAATTAATGAAATGTGAAGTGCAAATACCTTGAACCCCACCTTCTTACCATTTAATACAACGCTGACATTTAAAATTAATAATGTCCACATATTCCCACATATGGAGTTACCGAAAACGAATGCTCATTTTAAAATGCAAAAAAACGAAAAGTGTGAATGAAGAAAAACAAAGCTCATTTGAGTTCTGATTGCACAATCCAATGTTGAATCGGCATTGATCTACTTAAAACTTCTTGCTTCAATCTGAACAAGCATTTCTTTAATATTCCCTAACAATCTTTGGAATTCTCTGGAATTTCCACACTTTTAGAAATTTCTATCGATTTTTGTAAGATTTAAGATTACTCACCTCCATGTGCCGTCGTTATGCCATAATTCCCTCCCCCCCCCCCCAAATTGCAAACTAATTCAAAATTAAACATCCTTATTAAGTTTCATGAACAACTGTTCTGGGAATTTATTGGAGCACAGAATCTAATAGCTCCACTGGGATTAGGGGAATGCAAACTGGTCTTGGAGGTTTATTTCGCGCTTTCAGATTTCAGGTTAAATGATTTTGCAATCTTTTATTCCTCCAAAACAGGAAGTTGGACTTGATCTGCAAATGAAAATTCTAACCATCGGGCAATTTGTACATTTCTACTTTTTTCTCTCGGGTTAATATACTTTACTTGAAACTTACTTCTTTAATGACCATCATCTTACTTGATTAAGTGTTTTTTTCGTGAGTTTTACGAGATTTTTAAATGGAGACTTATTGCCCATCCTATTATAATTGGCTCTTCGATTTTGCGCCAACATAATTAGTGCATTTGAACAAAAGCAATTTCAGATATATATATAGCTTAGGAAAGGGAGAATTTTTCAGCCTAGTATAAATTGGGAGAGCCGGGGGGGGGGAGGTGGGATGAGGGATAAATTGTGGATTGCGTTCTTGATGCCAAGATTTATGCATATGCCAATTTACCATTAGGGTCCAATTTGCCCTTAAAATTTTCCTTACTTGAGATTTTTGAGGGCAATCGGGTACACATCGCATTGGGTGTTGGCTTGACTTCATCCCATGTTATCTTAACTTCACCTTTCATGAAACTTGTCTTCTAAATGTTTACTCAACCTAATCAAGTTTAAGGTTTGAGAAGCTGGGTTTTTTTTCAATTTTTTTCTGATAGTCAAGGTAGCAGAGTTTCACCCATTTTCATGTTTTTTTATCGGATTTGTCCCTCCTTGTGTTTGTTCAAGGAGAAAAGTCATGTTTTTTACTACCTCAGAACACTGTCACATTTTGTTACTAACTTGTAAAATTGAGCAGTAATGACTGGTTCACTTTCATGGCCCACAGACAAAATAGGTCAATTTCGTGGGATATTTCGGGGTATCACTAATTTTCTTGGAATAATTTCTAATTGTGTAAATAAATATTGGAAGGTAAAAATAAGTGAATTTTGAGGTTTGCTATTTCCCACCACGATACGTACTTTCGCCTGATATGGAACCTGGAAATATGCTTCCACATGGTCATAGAAATCATCTGACATTGTGATAAGTACAGACTTAATGATGCAATTAACATTTCATATTTTACTATTCTATGCATTCTTTTCCTAATTGTCTATGGTAGTACAAAAGTCAAAAAACAAGTTTTACATATGGAAAAGTCAATATATAAGGGGATAATAAATTAATTAAACAAACTCCTTATAGATTAATATCATCGACTGGTCAAGCCGCTTCAATTTATTTGTACCTTAAATTATTTACAAAATACCATTAAGTTTTCTGAAAAATTGTAGATTATACGTTGTGTATTTTAGTATTTACAAGATTTGAGTAATGAAAGCTTGAAATTTAATTTGGTTTTAAATTTGAACATTCATGTTTTAAGTCAGTCACTAAGGAGGAATTTTTGGGGGGGGGGGTAGGTTTTAAAATGATCTTTTCCAGATTTTATCTAACTTGGCGCCTTGTGTTTAAACGGTTGCGTAGTGAAGGGTAGGAAGGTTGCTTCTCCATGGCCTTAGGAGTTTGTTTTAAATGCACTGATGATGGAATGTGCACTTTATCAGTTTTATGACCAGCCTCTCTCCCCCCCCCCATCCCCCGTCCTCCTTCCACCTCAGAAGGATGGGAATATATTTTGATCTGATGATCGTCTGTCTTTTTTATTTAATTAACTATTTAGATAATTCAGCTAATTGTGATCAGCTGCAGTTTAAATTCTTTCACCATCTGGCCTAATAAACTAGCTCTGATTTCGGTTTGTTCGAAAAAAACATTTGAGATCAGAAAAAAATATGTTCGACTTATACATAAATTTAGAGTCAATGCGATTCCCACTTATCTGTTATTCTCATTGGGATTTCTACAATTTTAACTATTTCCGCAATAAGTCTAGGTTAGGGCTGGTTGATAGACGATCGAAATTTTATCATTATTATTATTACCTGTGAAGGATCGATTTATCTGTTTTAATATTCATTCTTATTTATAAAAGGCATTGTAGTAAAAACCCAGAATTATTTTCAGGATTTATTGTTACATGAAGAGTATTTAAGTATTTTTTCACAATAGCTAAGTTGGGTTATACTTAAATTGAACGAGAACGTCTTCTGTTATAAATTTAATTTAAAAATTTAATATTTTACCAACAGTTTTGGCTGCCAAAAATCTGACTCCAATGGACCCGAATGGCTTGGCCGATCCCTATGTGAAAATTAAACTTAATCCAGCCGACGACAACCAGAAGGTTAAATTGAAAACCAAGATTATCCGGTCCACCCTCAATCCCTCGTGGAATGAAGAATTTCACCTGTAAGTTACCTCAAGTAATAAATTCGTATTTTAATAAAATTCAACAACTCTCGTGTGATTTATAAAAAAATACTTTTAGCAGATTAAGTTATTCTTGTGGATTTTGAAACAAATTATACTCATATTTATTATTTAACAAAATGAATCAAAATATTTTGTGAGAGCAGTCTGAATAGGCCTAGTCAATATGACTTAAATAAAAATTTTCATATAAATTCTATTTTTGTGTTATTGAAGCATTTATTATTACGAAAATATTAAAAAAAACAAATATGGTGTTTTATCCTTTCTTTTCAATGAATGCATTTTTCCTTGTGACAAAGAAAAATTTCAGTCAAGTTAAACAAACAAGTGTCTTAAATAATCATACCAAGATCTGATTTATTTATTTTCACCGACTGAAAAGACCATAAACTAGAATAAATCATGCTAATAGTCATAATTTATTTGAATTCTCAAAGGAATTAGTTATTCACTTACTTATAATTATTTTTGCCAAGTTCAAAGACCATTGTACTTACTGAAAAATTGAATCATATGTTGAGCTTGAATCAAGTTTTAAATGCTTTAAACACCACTAATATCTACATTATTGCAAAAAATGCGCCTTTTGATTATGGCAAGCAGTGCTTATTGACGGGTTCTTAATGAAGAGTGTTCGGCCTGTACTCCTTCGTTTGTTTGTTTTTTTTTAGTACGGATGGTTGAGCATTCAGAATTTATCATAACTTGATTAAAACTGAGAAAAAAGAGAAAAATTTGAAGTTAGCAGAGCTCTGTAAACTGAGTTCACTTAGAGGGTTATGCTAATTAAACCTGTACTCACTTATTCTCCCTGGGGGGGAGGGGGGTAGTATTTATTATGCAAAGTTAATGCGGACTAAATGTCCCCCACTCCCAAAATACTGTTATCTTAAACATTTTCATAACAGAAAGGATGAGCATTCAGAAGAGAAGTTAGAGCATGTAATTATTGTGGATGTGAGGCTGCTTACTAAAATGAAGAGAAAATACATCAAAATATGGAAAAAAGTAATTATAGAGGCTGGCAGATTTTTTCTTTCAAGGTATTGGAACTGGAAAGCCATGTTTCCTGTTCGCTTAATTCGTCATGACCTTTATATTAACTAGACAGGTATTAAAATTTGAAATTTTATAAGCATAGTTAACTTCTTAGTGATTGATGAGTTGTGGAGGTTGATGCTTACTGGAGAAAATTCGGTGGCTGGAAAAGCGTTTCACATTGGGCTACTTCTCATTGAGATATTCCCTTAGTAGCCTACTCCAAAGCAATAAGGTGTTGTTAGCGCTTTTCCAAGTGGGCCTTCACTTTATAATCTGTAAATTTTCCTTAACTGTCTAAATTCGGGAAATGTCTCTTAAATTATTCACTAATAATGGTCGTGGCCTCATTCTCTGGCATTTTACTTACAGTCTGCTAGATTTATACTCATTCAAGTGTCTTTAATTAAACAGCTCAATCTGGAAAAAAAACCAAAGCATACTGTTGATAATTGAACACTTTTATATCCTCTTTCTCAATTGATGAATAAAAATCCTCAGTGTAGACATGGGATGAGATCGACTGAATTACTGTTTGCAATTAATTTGGAATTATTGCTACCGCGTTTGGCAAGACGTTAAAATCCATTTGATCAATGCAGTGGAACGGCTTTTCTTACTTTCACAGGCAGCTTAATGCCTGACTTAAGACTTCAATCGAATATGAAAATGATTGAATCATGATGGAAAGGCTGGGGGGTTAATGCTTCAAATTATTACACTACTATCTATAAATGACTAACTGGGGTGTGCGATAGACTTACCTCCACGTGGTGCACCCTGGGCAACGTATACTCATACGACAAAAAGTCTATAAACCGGCAGTTGATTTCTCACTTCAAACTACCATGACCCCACTGTATGACATATTCGACCACTTCCACAGTACTATGTCACATTTTTTTCTCTAAATTTTCAACCTTCGTCTTTAAAACACTCTTCAGTACCCCTCCTCTCGACTGTTTTTCACTTTGATGTTTCTTCCCCTTTGTGAAGACTGAAGTCAACCAAAGGGCTAATGATAACCACCAAAACGCCTGCCATTTGATATAAATAAATAAATTAAATATTTTCCCACGATGAAAATATGCACAAAATTCGGTTTTGCAATTGACAGTAAATAAAATTGTCTGGCCCGTTATGAGGCACTTCGAATTACAATACCATTTAAATATAATAGAATAGTTTTGTCAAGAGAAAGCTGAAAGCAGATAACGTTACAAGAGAAGCTTTTTTTATCACTATGACAATGAGCAGAAGAATCGAATTCTAAAGTACTATAAGCATAAACTCGAACGATATCACCTTGGTTTGAATGGCATTAGTCTGCACCTTAAATGGTCTTTCTTATTTCCAAGATTTGCTACAAAGTAAAATATGACGAAGGCAAAGTAATGTGACTGGCTATGAGAAGCGGGAAATAGTAGTAGGCTGATAAGATGAACTGTAGAAAAGACAGAGAAGCAAAAGTTGGTAGATGCAGAATATTTGAAAACAAGGAAGACTCTGTAAGAAAATTAAAGTTAGTCATTTATTCATTTATTTATTTATATCAAATGGCAGGCGTTTTGGTGGTTATCATTAGCCCTTTAGTTGACTTCAGGCTTCGCAGAGGGGTACTGAAGAGTGCTTTAAAGACGAAGGTTGAAAATTTAGAGAAAAAAATGTGACATAGTACTGTGGAAGTGGTCGAATATGTCATACAGTGGGGTCATGGTAGTTTGAAGTCAATTGCCGGTTAATAGACTTTTTTGCCGTATGAGTATACGTTGCTCAGGGTGCACCACGTGGAGGTAAGTCTATCGCACACCCCACGTGGGAAAATATTTGAATATAATTAATGCTAAGGTACTCAAAGTTGGGGGGGGGGGATGGGAAGGGGTGGGGGAATCCTGCGACACTAGAAATTAATTCAGGCCATCATTAACGTCAGGTTGAGGTCATTTTAACGATGCGGCATAGAATGCCGCTTCATGTCCTTTTGCTAAAGTGGCTATATATGCAGATATTCTCTCAAAAGAGCTCCCTTCCTTTTATTAGCATTAGTAAAACAAGATAAACGCTGCCTATTTTGATTGCTGGGAGCAACTGGTGTTGAATCTCTGCGATTTCGGCAGGTGTTAAAGAAGGGGTATGGTGGGGGGGGGGGGGGGGGGGGGGGAAGGGGAAAGCGAGATCTGAAGACATCTAATGCAGCGTTAAGGTGTCAGAGACTCCAACACCACTTGATGTTTGGACTTGGATTGAACAAAATTTACTAAGCTGGCATTTCACTTTCTGAAATTCCCATTTCATGGTTCGTCCGTTGTAGTGAAGCAACTACTTCCAAATTAGAGGTCGACCTTGCAATTTCAATTTATTTTTCGCCATTGGCTGAGAGGTAAAATAGCATTATATGGTTTCCTTCAGCTTATTGATTAAGCATAGCCAAGATAAGGACCAAAACTTTTCTTATATTCTCATTCATTTTTCTGTTTTGCAATAAATTGGTCATTTTTTTTCTTTTTCTTTACCATTTAATCCGAATTTTAAATAGAAAGCAAGAGAAATTGAATAGACCACTTGCCATCTTAAAACACCATGTTAAACATTGTGCCAATCTTGGCTTATTAGTGTTTTTTAATCCACTTAACCTAAAGATTGTGTCAAGAATACAGCTTAAACAAAGGAGATGAATTGGGTCTTTTATGTTGTTCTACAGCCCATTTGTTTCTCCCATTAAGTTGTGATTACTGTCGCATTTTCCACATTGTTTGAGTTGAGCATTTGGAAGAGCTTCTGAGTACGCGATAGAGATATTAGTTCTCAAGTGTATTTGTTTGCATTCTCGTAATTCCACGTTTTGCTGTTGGTGGTGGGTAAACAGTGTAAACTCGAATTTACCAATTTCAAAATTCTGTGATGGTAGAACTTCAGGCCTTAGGTTTATCGAGTTTTTGATACATGATACAGTTCGCGATACGTTATATCTCTTAATCATTTATCTTCATTTTCTTTTTAGGCCTCTGGAGCCAGGGGATGTTGGGAAGCGACTGTCAGTTGAAGTGTGGGATTGGGACCGAACTTCACGAAATGACTTCATGGGATCGCTCTCTTTTGGCGTGGGAGAGTTGAAGAAGGCCCCGGCTAGCGGATGGTACAAACTTCTTCCAGCCGAAGAGGGTGAATTCTACGCCTGTCCTTGCATAGATGAAGCCGGTGCAGCTCTTATTGAATTAAAGAATAAAGTCAAGGTAAATTGAATGGCCATTTCAATGCCCTATAGAGTTTAATACTACTGTCAGGGGTTACTTCAATCGTACTTTCCGAAATTCTATTTTTTTAGCAAGACTAATCTGTTAATTCAAGCATTGATATCCGAATAGATCAACTGTGAGATGATTTTGGATAGTATTTTGTATTGTTTTTTTCGTTTCCTTAATGGAAAGAGCTATCAACTCGTGCACTGGAAACAGTTTTTATGGTGTGAACGATTTGCTGGGACCTTAGGATAGGTCCAATCATATTTGTGCTTTTATTCTCAAGCAGTTTCACTTCAAGGTGATATCGGTACTTAAATTGTCAGTGGTTACTATTTATTCCCTTTAACCAAGTATTCTGAGAACCTCTTTGCGAAGACCGAAATACTCCGTTTACAAATCTCTAATTTTTTATTATCTAATAAGAAACTAGACTTGTAATTGTTTCATTGATATCTCCAATTTATGTTCCCAACAGCGATTTTTTTACCTAATTCTACCTGATTATTGGCAAAGTTTAAACTAGACAGTCACTCAAATTCATCATCGTCAATGTAAATACATCAAATGTGGTAAGGGATATAAGATGAGCTGTGTCTTCATAAGATAAGCATTTCTTTTACTAACAGGGACATTGGAGCCTTATAGCTACTAATATGTAATTCCTCATTTATTAGAGTTAGCTTCTGGCGAATGGCAGCGCTTGTTAGCTATGGTTGGGTTCCATTCTTGGAGGACTAGAACTAATTAATTAATCGAGCCAGAAGTCCACTGCTTTAGATCTTCTAGCAACATTCGACTTGCTAACTAGCATTATAACAAATTGCTTTGTTGATCTAAAATAATCAGTACGTTTGGGCATCTACACCACTGAGCAAGAAGACAATCACGGTGACCTCAGCACTTCTAAGGCAACGTAAAGTGCTTCTTTTCTACCATTAAACGTGTTGGCTCAATATCACTTCTAATTTCATATATGCCTTCCTCATAACGGAGTTGGATGCTTGATCTTATTGATCCAAGGCAGAAAATCGCATTTTTTTCAAAAGATTTGCGAGAGCGTATCGACTTACCTAGCACTTAGCTACTTTTCAGCCAAGCAGCAAAATGATTTCATAATTTGTCACTTAAAGAGCAGTTTAGTTAATGTGGAATGTTTTTTTACTACACAATGGCAATATGTGGTTGTTTGACTCGTTAACTATTCATCAAAATGTCATCAAATCATGTAGAGTTATTATCAATGTTTTATTTAATTCCAATGCACAACCGATTAACCTCGTAGCAATTTACATAATTTCCTTTGTTCTCCACGATCAGACTACGTGGTCATTAGTTTTCACCGCCAATTTAAACAAATCTTTCAACGCACACACACACTCAAAGAACTTCTTAGAGCATTAACTATTTATGTGAATGATTATTTTTCTCAAGTCAAATACTCTTTACTGGTCACACCGATTCTGCCTGAAGATAACTATTTTAAAATTGGTTTCTGGTGGGTGGAGAATTTAGTAAAGAAAACTCGTTTGAAATAATTTTTACTCTCCCTCTCTTCAAAATTAAAAATTAATAGTTAGAGTAGGGATATAATTTAGGTTACACCTCAGAAGAGGGAAGCGGATACTATTCTCGAGGACATTTTAGGAGGAAATTAGATTAGGAATAATTGCTTCGTGGTTAATTTTTATTTGACGTGTACTCTTATCTCTATGTCCAATCAGTTAAAACAAGTGTAGACCCACGGGGGCAAATGGATGTCACTTCCTCTCGCGGGGGGGGGGGGG